CATACACAAAATGTATATGTACGTTATATAGTTCTATTATATATAGTTCTATATTATATATATATATACAGTATGTATGTGGAACAACATTGATGGGTGTCGTGCCATGTTCATTTCCCTAGGCCCTAGGTCTGCATAGCCATGTCAACACTCCACAGATCCCCACAGGCCATTGTTTCAGCTGATGCTGTTTCCTCTGCTAACCTGCCAAGCTTTATGACAGAAAAATGAACCTCGGCTTCAAATGACCCGCTCTAGTTGGGACTGTGTATGGTAACGAGGAGGAGCCAAAAGGGCCACCCTCGGCTGGCTCACAAAAGGTCTGCCATGTTGGAACCTACCTTCTTCCTCTAAGTTTTATGATTGGGCGGGTCACAAAAGGTCTGCAACCTTGGAATGGCTTCTCCGTTCTCTAAATTTTACCCTCCATTCACAAACAGTATGCTACATTGGCAGCTGCAACAGCACAGCGCTCGCAACACTGGCCAGTGCAGGCAGCACATCTTTGCAAGCTGGTCAGCTGCAGCAAGCCATCAAAAGCCAACAGAAGCAACGGTGCTTCCCTCCTTCCTTCCTTCCTTCCCTCCCTCCCTCCTTCCATCCTTGGCTCATAGAAGCCACCAAAAGCCGACCAAAGCCACCAGAGGCCACGAAAAGCAAACAAAAGCCACCAAAAGCCAACGATAGCCAGCCAAAGCCACCAAAAGCCGCCAAAGGCCGCCGCCAAAGGCCAAGCAAGGCCACTGAAAGCCACCAGAAGCCACACAAACGATCAAAAGACCCTTTAAATATTAAATAAGGGTTACACACAAGAACAAAAGATACGAGCCCCCCGATTGAACTCCAAGTGCCTGAATTCCACCAAGGGGCGATGTCAGCTAAGTCGTCTCTCTCAAACCTCAGCGCGATGTCCAGCTCCGCGATCGCAAAAAGCGGAATGGACTCGAAGAGTGCAAGTGAGAGTGAGAGTTGATGAAGTCCAAACTGGACATGGAAAACATGTTTATGGAAAATTACAAGATCCATATTCAATCACGCGATCTGGGCCTTCCTCTACACTTCAAGTGCCTCGAAGCAACCAGCCGAGGGAAATGTAGTCTCCATCACTCTCCCCACAGCCTGCGAAGTCGAAGCAGAACCTGAGCAAAAGCTGGCGTGGGAACCCTAAAATTAAATTGGTTTCATGGGAATGCAAAAATTGGATTGGAGAAGAAGGGTGTGGTTTGAGAATGGTCCGCATGTCCATTCCAATGGGCCCCAAGATATGCCCAACGGTTCGACTGATCACGATGGCGCTCAGTCTCCATCTGGGGTTTCCAGACCCAGACCCAGGCAACCAGACCCAGACCCAGGCTGTCGAGGGGCAAAGAGATTCCCAAAGGCAAGAAGAGTGGCACCAACTGCAAAGCCTCCAATCTGCAGGAGGCATTTTGATGCAGGTAGATGACCTCGATCGGAGTGTCTTCGCCGCCGGGAGGGAGAGAGAGAGAGAGAGGAAGGACCTCATTGCCAAGGATTCCCAGGTCCTTTTTGAATAAGCCTATCTTTCAGCCTCGCTTCGCTTCGAAGCAGCATTCGTCTTCCAAGCAAAGATCAGTGATAACCACTTCACGCAGTATCACGCAGCCATGCTACACAAGGTCTTGGTTCTCCGCTCTCTCGAACGTCAGGCAGAAAATGGGAGCACCTGACACGTTAGCCGAGTGCGCACGAACATGACAAATCGTGCTGCATAAACTTCGTACACAATCAAACGGAAAACTCTTGGTCCACTAGCAGGCACAATGATCGAAGAATAGAACAAATAGACTAAAACACTATAGCGCAGTACCCTTCCTGCACTCAAAAATCGGGCACTCCCAAGAGACCCATTCTGAAACCCATTGTTAAATGAACAATTCTGAAGGAGCCGCAGCCAAATGCAACAACAGAGTTCCCAATGTCATTGTCCAAGACCTCCGAAGATGACATGACCATTTGACCCATCCGAAGTCCAGTAGAAAGGAGGTCCTTTGTTTCAGCCCCTTTGTTTCAGACTCCGTTTTTCTTTGCAGTCTCTGACAGCGACCGGGTCTTTACTCCCACTCCTCTGGACTCCGTTTAGTCCCTGAATCCCACCAGTTGAGACGTCTTTCTTTTTCAAGCCTCAGCTGCTGCCCCCTAGAGCTGGTCAAGTCAATGTCCTCGGACCATGCAAAAAAGTGATAGGAACCAGTTCGAGCCTTTGCAAAAAAAACTGCGAAGCTTGGCTTCAACTTAATTGAACAAGACGTCTCTCGGTGGGATCAATTGGCCCAAGTAGAGGTTGAACATTAAATTAAAGTGTGTGACATATGTGGAAAAAAACGACCGAGAAGGCCCAGAAGTAATCATTTTTGATCGGGGCATGTCGGGGCACGTCTAAAACTGTTTTTTTGAAACCATGCCGCTAGGGGGGCCATGCCTCAATCTCTGGAGAACTGACCATTTATATGCTACCCTGAGAGGTTGAAAAAAGTTGATAAGCACAGGTAAATACCAAACTTTGTCGGGGTCCCTGATTTGGAGACAACATGGAAACCGTCAGTTTTGGGATGTGGAAGCTGATTGTCCTTTGCCAGGGATGTTCCACACCCGTTTCAAAAGACACAAAATATAGAAACTGTTTCTTTTGGGACAGTTGCCTTTGTGAGCCAATCTGCTAGTAGCAATTAAAATTTGTCGACTACTGAGTGACCACTGGCTAATCATGGCCATCCTATGGGTTGGCATATGCCATCCCCTGTAAAGCTGCACGTATATGTCATAACAGGCTTTGCCGAAAACCAGGACATGGTTCCCACCCAATCAGATTGTTGGCATTTGTTGCATATGCTTCCTCTACCTCTGGACAACCTATATTTAACGTAGAGCGCTGCCCTCTGTTCAAGTCACCATGGGGCTCGATCAACTGTCGGCCGCTCAACTGTCGACTGACTCCCAAGACGGGACCCGAACGCCGTGGAGAGACCCGAACGACCGCGAATCCGCATCCCGTCCGCTGATGGATCGCTCAGTGTCTCTCGGATCGCGAAAAAAGGGGCTATATAAGAGGTCCAAGTGTTTCACAGCAACAGCACAAAATATTGGCGCAAACTATCTGGATGCATGCAGCAAGCGCCCATCGGTTCAAACAGTTTCAACTGAACTTCGGCCCAACAAATCAGATAAATCAGCGAGCAAAACGGAAAACATTCTCTGCAACGAAAACAATAGGACAATAGAAATGTAAAAACATCAAACACATTTAAAACGAACATTGAAAATATATGGTAAATATACTATATAGATCTATATAGTATATACAATATAGTATATACAAATATATACAAATATGTTTTTTTATGTGACACCATTTGAATATGTATCAAAAACAAGACCAACACCGCCAAAACTAGGGAGAGTTCGGTTCTTCCCTCTGCCTCTCTCCGCCAGGCATCCAGCCGCCGCACCGGGCAGCTCCAAAGCCGAAAGTCCTTCGGCCCCAGGCGCAGCGGGTCGTAGCGCCTGGACCGGGACCGACGGTCGTTAGCATCTGATTTGGTCGTTAGCAGTCGGATGTTGTGGCATGGTTTCAGATGGAGAAAGCTCTTTTTCAGTGGATTTTTGTGTTTTTTGGCTACTTCATTGCTATTTTGAGCTGTCATCAAAGACTCCTAGCTCTACTCTATGCGACGTAGGGAGAACGAAAAAGAACAAAAACTAACCTGCACCTGGTGTTTTGTCGAAACAAATCTAAACAACAGTCCAGGGCAAGGTAGCTGCTGCAGTAAGCTTACTGCGTATAGTCTATCAAAACGGGAGGTCTTTGAACTTGCTGCCAAAAAGCAACTCAAAATAGCTAGACTTTAAGTTCACGCCATGTTTGTAGCGGCAGTATCTTCTGCAGGGGCCAAGGCCTGCACGAAGTTCAAGTGGTTTCAATTTTCATCCGGGGGATGTGAGCCACCCCCCTTCTGCAACTTTTGGGCTAAAGGATGGCTTTCAGGTTTCTACTCTTTCTTGGCCTGCCTTCGAGGGGGTCGGATAATCAGATTCCAGAGCGCCAGGGCATAGGGCTGCCTGACGACGGGTATCGGCGGGTTCCCTGATCTTCAAGACGGCGCGCTCGGGAAGTGTGAAGTCTGTGACTGCTACTGCGCGCATAGCTCCTTGCAATGCAACACGTTCCAAGTAATATTATGTTGATTGGGCAAGCTAGTGTCCAGAGTAGTTGCCAAAGCTCTCTTCAGTGAACATATGTCACAGCACATGTCTTTGACGGATGCGAGGGAAGTTCCGCGTAGATCGTATACCAGGATGGTTCAAATCCCAATCCCCAAGCAAGGGTTTCCACCGGGCCGTTCTGGACAACATATTGGGCCCAAAGCCCAGGGAAAGCTTTTGCAGCCCAGCAGCCCCGGCATCTCCAGGCAATCCGCATCATCCATTCCTGCGTGCTGCGCTGCCTACCGCAGCCTCCTCCTCCACAGCCTCAAGTGCCGTGCCACATCACGCCATCCCACCCAAGGGACCAAATCTTCGGAACTTCATGTCTGCCACTCCAAAATACAAATCCTCCAGCGTAAGATTGGCTTGCTAAACAAGCGCGGTGGCTCTTGGCGATGTTTCACAATGCCACCCAATGCCTGGTCCAAACATGACCCCCACCCGCCCACACCAAGAGGCCGCGTGGCCGACGGTGGCACACTCACATCCTTTCTGAAAGCCGAAACAGCTGGCCGGGATCCACGCGTCGGGCAGGTCACAAGCGCGTCGGAACAACACTGTGGATTTGCTTCCGTGGGCGGAACCATTCCGCCATGTTCCACCTAGTCGGGACCAAAAAAGGAAACGTAAACGCTCAACCACCAAGCAAGCAGAACCAGAACCTCAACTCTTTCAGCAAAGGCCTCCTCCTTGTGGCTTTTGAACCCCGGACCTGCATGTTCACATCCGTCCGCGCTTCCAGTTGCTTCCGTGTCACCCTTGCGCATCCCCGCCTCCCGGGCGGGCCGCGGCACGTCTTGCCCTTCCATGGCCTGGCGATCCGGGGAGCTCCCATCGATCCCCACCATCCCCGCCATCGATCACCTCACCCCAAGAAAGCCAGCAGGGAGGAAGCGAAGGCAAGAAACACCAATGCACACAATTCACACCCATTCTCCAAAGCAAGTAGACCCACCACTGGATTGGATACAATGATGCCTAGTGTTTAAGAGTTGCTTCTCACTGCGCTCAAGTGCCTCTTTGCCTCATCTAAGCATTCACCATCACGTGACACGTGTATCTTTCACGGCGTTGTAAAATGAAACAAGTACGTCCAGCATGTGAGACTGCTGCCCGTGAAGTGCGGTAAGTGGCCTTGGGCAAGCTTCACCCTCACGTCCCCAACTATGAAAATATAGTGTAATATCTTCATGCCATGGGGAGGAATCTCATCATGAGCAAAAAGGTTTTGTGGAGTTATATTTAGTTGCAATATGTTGAAATAATTGCAATAGGGTGTGGGAACAATCGCATAGGATTAAAATAGATTAGGGAATTGTGAAACTAAGAATTTCGAGGGGGAAGAGAGGAGAAAACAAATCAAATTTGGAAAAGCATGGACCAACACAATGTGGAGGATTTGTTTATCCTGTGCTGACATGTTTGCCCACATTTCACTAAAACCTGTCAAGCGCCCCAACCAGCTTGTAAAGCCGTTGGCCGTTCACCTGGCCGCCGTTCAAAGGCGGCAAAACCCTGAAAGAGCTCTGTGAGGTTTCCAGCAATGGCTCAAAGGAACCAATGGCTTGCAAACAGGAGGGGGCCATGGGGGGGCCCTATCTTGGGCCGTTGCCATGCGTCGAGGTTCATCCAAAACCGGAGTAAGTTCGACATCCTCATGATGCCTACCAGGCAACGTAGCTTGTGACACCTGAGTGTGTGGGGCCTGGTGAACGGATCTGGGCAGATCCAGCTCTTCCAACACCACCAAGAGGAGAGGTTACCGTAGGGACGCCTTAAGAACTTTAACATGAGAAACCAACCTTCACTCGGATTGGTTCGCCACTGCGGAGCAAAGCAGGCTCTCTTCGCGTCAAGCTGTTCAAAAAACCTATGGCATTCTCTGACCCAAAAAGACTTGCGAAACGACTTGACCCGTGCCTGTCAGTCAAGACTTGGTGAACCTTGTTCGATCACGATTGAACAGAACAAACTCCAGGGATGACCCATCCCAATGAAACACAATGGAGCCCCCAGACATGGTCAACCAGCGTTTTGGCAGAGGTTGAAGAACTCTATAGACTATCCGATATAATTAGGTACCCCATCATGGTCACACTGATGGTCACTTCACCCCTCTTGGACGTGCCTTCATTGACGCCCTTTGTTCTCCGTCCGACTGACCCACGCATGACACGGCAGCACGCAAGACATCGGACGCCCACGACGGGCACACCTTGAGGGCAGAGAACATCGGAGGCACCTCGAGGGCGTTCTGATGCGGGTCGTTAAGCCCGGACAGCGCGGACACATGGGAACCCCACCACGGGTGAAAAAGGGTCAAACTCAGCACATGAGACTTGGGAGGAACACCTATGGGAATGGGGGACGGTAATATGACTGAAGTTACTGCACGACTACTCTCTCTCTCTCTCTCTTTCTGCAGGCTTAGCTCTCGCTGTCTCATCGAGGCGCCCAAAACCGCCAAAAAACATGGTAGGGGCTGGGAAGGGGAACACTCCACGAAGACAACAGTGAGAAGGATGTGGTGACTGATGCTTCAGGAAATGAGATCTAGGGAACACTCTTGGACTCTTGGGTGCGTTCTTTGGTGGCTTCATCCTTTGGCTGGTGGTGTTTTGGGAGCGTTTGTGCATCGGTGCTTCAATATCAAAGCAGGCCCCTAGTGCATCTCTACACGGGCAAGTTCCGATAGAGAGAGATGCTTTGGAAGCCTTGTCAGCACATAATCACCGATTGCACCCATGCTTGGGGATGGCTTCCTCATGAGCTACTTTGGGGGTTGTCTGAAACACAGGCAGTGGGTTGCTTGTTTGTCGTTGTTCTTTCACTATGGGGACCTTTAGAAGGCTCATAATTTCAGCTCGCACGCATGCACATTGATCCTTATAAAGTAAACGGTCAGCTGTCCAACGAGGACCTTTACATTCTTAGCCATGAGGCATTACGAGCCAACTTTTCGAGAGCCAACTTGTGTTTCAGTACCTTGGTGATGGTGATGTTCTTGCCAGTGTAAGACGGTGTAAGCCCAACCCTTCCCAACGCTATTCACATTCACGGCCAACGAAAACGACGGCGGATGGTACCCCCCAAAAGGTCACCAAGTCACCGTCCAGGTCGGGGGTGCCACCCACGATCGGATCGCCTTGTCACCGTTTTTCCCTTGTCCTTCCGCCTTCGGGCCACTATTTGGCCCCAAGGAAAGAGAGACGCGTCGCGCGAGCTCCCGTCCAGGGTGGACATGCACGATCTTGGCACCAGGCCTCCAAACCACTTTTTTGACCAAGCTAAGGTTTAAAGATCTAGATTGACACGCACATATAATGGAATGGGCGGTGTGCATGTTCGATCCAATAGCAACGCTTTCCGTGGTGCTGCTAGGGATGCCTAGGGTCTAGAGTGTGTGTGTGCGAAGCATGGCCCTCTCGAGGGAGCACCAAAGGCACCGAAGTACTGCACTGCATGCACCGAAGGCCATCGCATTGGACTAAAAGAAGAAGATCTGAATTTGAATAGCATGTGAATTGGCATGGCACCAGCCGTGGCAATCTGCACCTGTCTTCAGTGCAGGTGTTGGTATCTTTGACCAACCAAACTGTTCAAAAGGTGACCGATCTCAGATCTCTGGGATGCCAGCCTTGACAGATCTCAGATCTCCTATTCCTCCCTCTCTGGCAAAGAGTGTTCAGGCTGTATCTAAAAAATGAGTGAGTGTGTGTGTGTGTGTGTCACACCCTGGTTCTAAGGGCTTTCCACCTTTTCACCTTTCCACTACCACCGAGACCGTTCCAATTTTCCATTTTTCCACTGATGTGAATTCATCAAAGGCAGGGGCGTCAGGCTCGATACACCTACCTGACGCAACGAAGCTCTGGTGTATCGAGGGATGGGTGGACTGATCATCCACCTGTACCTGCTTCAACGGTTGAGCAAGCTGTTCCAATCCTCCTTTTTTGATTCCATGGTGGTTCATGATACTTCCCATAAACCCCTCCACTTTTTCATGCAGCTGAACTGTACAGAGGCTCGTCACCGCACACCTGTCGAAACTTTGTTCAACAATACGGTTTTGCTGACTCACGCACCTTTCTGTTCCATCGCCTTCCTTC